AAAAGTCTAATTTTAAAGGTGGAACAAAAAGCTCTAGATGCAGCTGTCTTAAATTTGTTGGGGTTAATTCCTTCCCGAGGGGCAATCATGTCTCCAAATTACATGCAGTTATGCAAGTGGAGTACAATATTTGGTTTTCTGGATCCAGGTCCAGATCACACTGGGTCCAGATTGATCCAAACCAAATCAGAGCTGGATCCATATTGCTGAGTCGGCCCCCAAATCAGATCTGGGAAGGGCCTTACACAGGCCAAATCTGAATTGTTCCATGCCTAAGCGAAGCCAGTTCATTTTAATCTATTGACTCTTTGCCTTTGTTTTAACAGTTACACTTGCTTGTACGTGAGACCATATTTTGCTTTTTCTACATCTTTTATTCTGGAGGACTGACAGGACACCAAAACGCCATTCGAAAAATACTTCAAAGATGCTGATGCTGCTCTGAGGAATAAGATTAGGGGAATCCCTGGCTTTGAGCCTGACTGTAATTGTTCGTAGCAAGGATTAAGCCAGACCTTTTGCCTTTTGACTGTTTCCCTGTTAGAATGAACATATGGTGTGTGAGATTTTCTTGTCTGTGACCCATCTGCCACTGACTCCTCTAATTGCAGGGCTTGCCTTTATCACCTACAGAAACTCCCCAGGGTTCTGGAACATACACAGGCAGAAATATTTGCTTTTCAAACCAAGGTTGTTCACTGGGGCTAATTTAACGCTCTTGAAATTAGTGCTATGCTGAAAATGTATTCTGCACTTCTTTTTTTAATCCGCCAGTCTTCAGCAGTTAAGATCGAAAAGAAATTGGATCTTAAAATTATTAAATGGGAGAGAGAGAGACTGTTCTCACTGATGAGGTGCAGGGTTTCTGATGTGCTTACTTTTGTACTTTTGAGCTGGTTGGTGGTGGTGTTCATTGTACAATGATCTCACCAGTGGCTGGCAGTCTGCATCTTCCCTAGGTGCCCGCATGTCAATCAAAGTCCAGAGGAAGACATCATGTGATAACTCCTCCCACTGGGCTTTAGATCAGGAAATGCAGTCAGCTGTGGAGGCTGCAGAGTGCTAGATAAATTTTTACTGGAAGGAAAACCACATATAGCATACTTGGCCACCTCGGAGCAAGAAGGTAAGCTTGAAAATGTGTCTAACGCTCTGAAGAAAATTCTTAGGTACCCTGAGAGCGAGGCAGCAAAATGGGAGCCACTTCTACAGAAAAAGAAACGGATACAGATTTCCACACACAGCTACTTGAAATATCCTGTAGGCAAAATGAAATAGCTTCAAAATACAACTTTTGGACTCTAAAGAATGATTATCCGAGTGTTTCCTTTCATTTTTTTTTTTTTTGAATCATCAGGTTTGTCCATGTTGATAATTTAATGATGAAACATTTTCCATTATCTCCCTTTGTGTGCTGAAAGGTTTTCCACAATTTTTAATAAGATTAAATAAAACCCACAAGTCTGAACCCTGGTTTACATGTTTGAATCCTGTGATTTTCTGTTTTATTGGTTTGTACATACTTTAACGCATTTACACATTGCTGTTTTATTTGTTTTAGACTGTGCGCTCTTGTTTTTAATGTTTTAGTAATATATATATATTTGGACTATACACTGCTTAGAGATTTTTAAAATATTAAGTGGTTTATGAATGTTGTTAATTAATAAATAGAGAAGAAAGGACAAATTTGGTTTACAGTAAGTAATCAGTTGTAATTCATTTCTGTGACATCCATGAATTTATAATTCCCATAGAGTTTCATGAGGCAAACAATATGTTTTCACTTCTAAATATATGCCCTATAAACATGCAACTCATGTATAATTGTATGTAAACAAGTTATGTACAGGCAATGACCGATTCACACATGTCCAATTGACACACGTCTGTGCGCATCACAGTGACCTGGAAGTGCTGTGGTGTGCACTCCACCAATGGATGCATGCGGGGGTCAGGAACGTAACCCCCATGCATATTGGGCATTGTCTGTACATCTGTGAGGTTTTTTAAATTGTTCAATGATAATTGCTTTAAATCGTTCTATGTATGTGTATTGCTTAGGGATTCTTTGTTAAGCAGCCTATCCATTCTTATTAATTACACAAACCAAAGCATCTCCTTACAAACAAAAACCTATTTATTGCCTGTTCCTATATGCAGCTTGTCCCATTATCGTCCCTCCAAAAACGTTTTAGCTTTTCAAAATATACTGAGCATACCAGAGCAGAGGGGTGAAATTCATTTCTAAAGACAGGTGACCAAGTAGTTGGTAAAGGTAAAGGTACCCCTGACCATTAGGTCCAGTCGCGGACGACTCTGGGGTTGCGGCGCTCATCTCGCTTTACTGGCCGAGGGGGCCAGCGTTTGTCCGCAGACAGCTTCCGGGTCATGTGGCCAGCATGACTAAGCCGCTTCTGGTGAACCAGAGCAGCGCATGGAAATGCCATTTACCTTCCCGCCGCCGGAGTAGCTATTTATCTCCTTGCACTTTGACGTACTTTCGAACTGCTAGGTTGGCAGGAGCAGGGACCGAGCAACGGGAGCTCACCCCGTCGCGGGGATTCGAACCACCGACCTTCCGATCGGCAAGCCCTAGGCTCTGTGGTTGAGACCACAGCGCCACCCACGCTCCAAAGAACGTTGTGCATGGCTTAACAGTGAACATGAATGATGTTTGCATAAGCAATGGCACTTGGTTGACTGCCCCTGCTTAATCAGTGTCATTGCTTGGGTGGGGGGGTTCATTTTCCTTCACTTGTACAAACTGTAAGCCAGATAGCAAATAGTATACAGCTGCAAGCAACGAACTATATATAAAATTCATTCTTTGGCCTCTGAAAAACATGCTGTACTAGTTTCTGGAGGCAAGTGAACTTTATATCACACATTAATTTGCCCTTTTTTATACTAGCATTTCATTATCACAAAGCAGGTATACACATTGGGCATTATCTCCCAAGCACTGCTGCTTTGCTATTTCCATTCTTTTCAATGGGATTGAAAGGAAGTCATTTGGAAGCAGAACTTGATGGATTGCCTCCATTATGCTTAAAAAAAACCCCACAAATAATAATAAAAATACTAAAATCATGAACCCTTTTACTGCTTTTTCATTCTCTCTCACTGCAGTCAAATGTCCTCACACAAGCCCTCAGGGTAAGGAAGAGAGCCATAACAATATATTTTATCTCCAACATGTGTAAGTGGCACAATGACCTGCAGTAAGCTGTGCTTGGAAAGGGACAATAATCTTATTTCATATTCTCTGAATAGGACTGGATTCCAAGGATGTATTTTGCAAATACACCAGAGGATTCAAAATGTACTATGATTATTATGCATTGCAAGAACAAAAACTATGCAGGGGTACCATTGCAAATTGCAAGCATCCTGGCAAGGTTTAAAGGTCTGTGTTTTGGATGTATTCAAAATTATAGTGCAATATAGATAAGCATTGCTTATTTCCGTGTGTGTGTGTGTGTGTGTAACACATATCATAATAATATAGCCATATTACCAACCCACTTCAAAAGTCATTTCCCCCCTTTTAAGTAAATGGTTCTGTTCCTTTTGTATGTGTACCCAGTACATAAGCCTAGTTTATTGTTTAGAACAACAGGCGCTCGATTTGCCCAGACATTTTGTACACCCCATAGATATATATTTTATATGAGTTTATGGTATAAAAAAGGAATCAAATTAAAATAAAATAATGGCATTCCTAAGCACTAGTAACTTTGCTTCAAAAATATTTCATTCAAAACCACAACTCTGGTATCATCTTACTCATTAATCATTTTACCCTTAAGCAAACAGGTTGCAATGAAATGGAAAGCTTTCAGCGCATTCTTTAATTCACTGAATGGGGTACAGAAAGGAGCATGAAAGAAAGGACCTATTCTTAGTTTAAGTTGTCTCTATACTAATGCACAGAGTGTGGGAAACAAGCAGGATGAATTTGAGCTCTTAATACAGGGTGGCAAATACAATCTAATAGGCATTACTTAACCTGAATGGAATGTAGAATTTCAGGGTTATAATCTATTCAAAAGGAATTGATGAAACAGGAGAGGAGGAGTAGCAGCATTATATGTAAAGGATATGCACACTTGTGAATAGATCCATGACTTGGAGCATGGAAGGCACATTGAGTGTATATGGGTAAAGATTGTAGGAGAGGGAAACAACAGTGACCTTACTTTAGGTGTCTGCTGTAGACCTCCAAGCCAGACTGAACACTTGAATGATGCCTTCCTAGAGCAGATTATCAAACATTCAAAAAGGAGAAATATAGTAATCATGGGAGACTTCAGCTATCCCAATATATGTTGGAACTCCAGCTCTGCAAGAAATTCCTCAATTGCCTGATTGACAATTTCATTTCCCATAAGATGAAATAAGCAATAAGGGGACTATTTATCCTGGACCTGGTCCTCACCAACAGGGAGGAACTGATTGATGAAATGGAAGTACTGGCAATCATGATAATGTCATCTCGGTTTTCATTATACAGAGGAAAAGCTGAGTGTAGTTGGACTCTGGACTTTAAGAAGGCTGATTTCAAAGAGCTTAAGGACCTACTGAGTGAGAGCCCATGGTCAGAAAAGGGATGGGAGTTTCTTAAAGCAGAAATATTGAAGGCCCAAACGCAGACAATTTCAACAACAAAAAGCAGGAGGCATCTTAAGAAACTGGAATAGCTGCATAAGGAGATTTTATATGAGCTGAAATTTAAGAAGGGCATGTATAAGAAAGGGAAGAAAGGGGAAAATCGTGAAACAATAGTATACAGGAGTGGCCAGCAATTGCAGGGAGAAGGTCAGGCATGTCAAAGCTCAGAATGATTTCAAGCTTGCAAGATAGATTAAAGATTATTTTTAAAGAGGTTTCTTTGGTTATGTTTGAAGCAAGAGAAAGAACAAGCAAGAAGTTGGTCCACTGCACGAATATGGAGAAATGCTTAACCAATAACCCCTCCCTCCCACAGACCCTATTCTGCATTAGCTCAGTTGGTAGAGCATGAGACTCTTAATCTCAGGGTTGAGGGTTCAAGCCCTACCTTGGACAAAAAGATTTGACTAGATGACCCTCGTGGTCCCTTCCAGCTCTACGATTCAATGATAAACCTCTTGTTTTTATATTAGCAGCAGCTAATATCTCCATTGCTAGCCATTGGAAATCCAGCTTCCCCCCTCCCCTGGATTATTGGTTTGGAGGGGTATGGACTATCCCTGTCCAGATAGGGGCACAGCTGGGCCACCAACCAAAGCTAATGGAAGGTACTCCAGGCCACTTGAGCCTCAAGTGGCAGCAAAATATCCAGAAGTACCCCCAAGTACCCCCTATCCTTTGGACGGAGTGTAACCCCATCAAGAGGCGGCAACCTCCCTTCCATCCAGGCTAAGGAGCCACCCACCAACAATGGCTGTCTTATCTGGATTGAGCTTCAGTTTCGTGGCTCTCATCCAGTCCATTACCGAGTCAAGACAACGGTCCAGCATGTCCACTGCCACATCTGCAGATGTAAAGGAGTAGTAGAGCTGTGTGTCATCAGCATATCGCTGACAACGTACTCAAACCTCTCTCTAATGTACCAGAGAAGGCTTACTGCAGGGCAAGAGGTGGGAGAGAAACAGATTTTTTTTATTCAATTTGGTTGCTTTCTCTATCATTTGTTAATGCTGAATCAAATAGACACCAACCCCCAGTAGTCCAAATAAACATGTGCAGAGGTTATATGTCATTCAAATCTGGTACTATATGGTAAACTACTGCACAGTGCATCTACCTTTCAAGTAGCATTGCATGAACAGTTCTCTTTCTCTCTTTAGTTGTGGCTGTTGTTGTTTAGTGTCAATGTAGCTTCGTAAGTGTAAGATGCAAGTGCCATCCACTTATTAAGAAACAATAGTCTTCTAAAGAAAGCAAACTGCTAATTTAGCAGGTTTTCAGGACTTGCTGGGTGTGTTTGTTTATTTTACAACGCCATGATTTAAACATTTTTGCACTTTTCAAAGGGACTTGCTGTATGTATCTTTACGTTTTATTTTTAAGTCATTTGCTTTCCTATTCTCTCTGTCACATATGCATTAAAATTGCACTTAATAGCACTTTACATCTGTTCCTATGCTGATGTTGATACTGATGACTCTCGGACTCTCATTTTATAGCCATCTGGCACAAATGAGACACTCAGTCAAATCTTCTGACTATTGATGTAATAGCACCAGATTGAGAGCCTCTTGAGAACAAAACTAGTATAGGGCATGGACAGGCAGACTTGAACCTTTTGGGATCTACTTTGTCTTGTTTATCAGAATCCTGAGACTCACCAAAGAGAGTCTGTAGCGGAAGACATGCATTTAGAATAAAATAACCTGGAGCCCAGGAATTTTATTATCTGCCCACATAAACACCCCCCCACACACACTTCATATTAGATGTATAATTAAGGAAGATGTTTTGCTGTTGTCGTTGTTAAAAAACTAGAGAATCAGAAATCCTTGCTAATCTACTTCAAATCAACCAGCGATCTGACAGTAGATCCTGATCTTCCTCCAGTCAAGACATGATGCTAAACTTGAATCCGATTGTTAGGATGGCCAAGGTGTACATTTACATACTCACCACTAGAACTAGTTTAGAAGACAGGAACATGGGAGGTATTCAATAGTGTATGCGTTCATTGCATCTTTGCAAATAAGCAGCATTTGCAGCTTCAACTCCGGGACTGGAGAGATTCCCAGAATAAAACTTGGACCACCCTCTGTTTCAGCTTTCAGACAAGGTATGCAATCTCATCCCATTTAAAGCTTTACAAGGTAATGGACCAGACAAAATAAGTAGGAACAAGTAGATATTAAGGATCCAAGTGTGACCACTGAATGTTTCAGGAGTAGAGATAGTCACCAAAGGGTTTTCTAGAGAATTCTATAGATCAGATGAGCAAAACAGAAATACAGAACAACTCAAGGAAAGGGGAGAAGATTAAGTGATGAAATTTAATGTACAATTAATGTGCTTAAATCCTTCTAGAATTAATGGGAGTACATGGGAGCCAACTCCTAGGGGCCAAGGTCCCTTCAGGTCCCCCAATAAAATATTTGATGGGGCCGCACCCCAAAGCTGATGGGCATTGCCATTCAAATGGGGGGGGGTTGCATGTGATCAGTTATGCAGGGCCCACCCCACTTACCTGACCACCAATATTTTATTCAAGTTGGCACCCCTGTGGGAGTATGTTACCTGTGTGATTTCTAGACTGTGCCCAGATGCACTTACGAAATGCAGTTACAAGCAATGATCTTTGCAATGCCTATTTGTATTGCTAATGCTGCACTTAGGGATGGGCAAATTTGTCAATTTCAGTTCTCCAAGTTTCATATTTTTCAAACCTTAAATTCAATTCTCCACATTTCTGCAACAAATTTATGATTGCTCCTTTAAATATCCTCCTGAAAAGTGTTTCCCCTTAACTTCTCCCAATAATAATAATAATAATAATAATAATTTATTATTTATATCCCGCCCATCTGGCTGGGTTTCCCCAGCCACTCTGGGCGGCTTCCAAGAAAACACTAAAATACAATAACCTATTAAATATTAAAAGCTTCCCTAAACAGGGCTGCCTTTAGATGTCTTCTAAAAGTTTGGTAGTTATTTTTCTCTTTGACATCTGGTGGGAGGGCGTTTCACAGGGCGGGCACCATTACCATGAAGGCCCTCTGCCTGGTTCCCTGTAACTTGGCTTCTTGCAGCGAGGGAACAATAGGAGTATAGGAGTATAGCATCTAGATCAAGGGAAGTAATAGTGCCACTGTATTCTGCTCTGGTCAGACCTCACCTGGAGTACTGTGTCCAGTTCTGGGCACCACAGTTCAAGAAGGACATTGACAAACTGGAACGTGTCCAGAGGAGGGCAACCAAAATGGTCAAAGGCCTGGAAACGATGCCTTATGAGGAACGGCTAAGAGAGCTGGGCATGTTTAGCCTGGAGAAGAGGAGGTTAAGGGGTGATATGATAGCCATGTTCAAATATATAAAGGATGTCACATAGAGGAGGGAGAAAGGTTGTTTTCTGCTGCTCCAGAGAAGCGGACACGGAGCAATGGATCCAAACTACAAGAAGATTCCACCTAAACATTAGGAAGAACTTCCTGACAGTAAGAGCTGTTCGACAGTGGAATTTGCTGCCAAGGAGTGTGGTAGAGTCTCCTTCTTTGGAGGTCTTTAAGCAGAGGCTTGACAACCATATGTCAGGAGTGCTCTGATGGTGTTTCCTGCTTGGCAGGGGGTTGGACTCGATGGCCCTTGTGGTCTCTTCCAACTCTATGATTCTATGATTCTATTCTATGATTCTAACAGCCAGAAGGCCCTCGGCGCTGGACCTCAGTGCTGGACCCTCAGGCAGAACAATGGAGCTGGAGACGCTCCTTCAGGTATACTGGACCGAGGCCGTTTAGGGCTTTAAAGGTCAGCACCAACACTTTGAATTGTGCTCGGAAATGTACTGGGAGCCAGTGTAGGTCTTTCAAGACTGGTGTTATATGGTCTGGCTGCCGCATTCTGGATTAGTTGTAGTTTCCGGGTCACCTTCAAAGGTAGCCCCACATAGAGCGCATTGCAGTAGTCCAATGCAGCTTTTGTATGCAGCTTTTACTAATGTGCACATTTTTTCAAGCAATTCTCTGGAATTTCCTCCCCACAGAGGAGGCATCTTCACTATATAGCTTTTGGCAAATGCTGAAGATGCATCTCTTTCCCCCGGCCTTTGACACCTGAGATGTGCGTCTTCAGGGCCCACCCTATGCCTGTGCTTGTAATTTCTTTTAATTGTATTAAATTGTATTAAATTCTGAATTTTTAATTGTTGTGACAAGTAATAAATTTAATACTAATAAAAATAGCAATAGTAATACTAATAGCTCACTGAGCTCCAAGCTAATAACTGAGAAGGGGAAATTTCAAGATGTTCAGATCGTGAGATTCTTGATTTGCAGTGTAAGACAAGCTACTATGGATGGAGAATAAATCTAAGAAATTAGCATGAATCACTTCCAGGTAAGGAGTCAAGAATCAGGTTACAGGAAGTCTGGGCTAAAAGCTCCTTCAGGCAAATGTTAACACTGTCATTAGTTGGAACTGGATACTACAGAATCCATCTTTTTAAAGCATGTGAACTCCCACTAAGCCCGTGGGAGGTGAGAAATCTACTCAGCAGCTGTTTCTAAAATGAGGACCATGGTTCCATGGGTGAAGAATTCCACGGTTCTCCAAGAAAAATATAGCCTTTGGTTTTTTTGAACACTGGCCAAGTAGAATGGGTGGAGGCCTACTGAAGCAAGAGCTTGAAATGAAACCATTGCAACTGCAGACGGATCAAAAGAAAAATACATTAAAAAAGAAAGAAAGAAAAAGAAAAATGCTGCAAGTCAAAGGAGCAACTTCCACACAGGCTCTGCACTAATGCTGCTGTTCCAGCTGCGCTGCATTCTTTGGAGCCCAGCCCAGCGCTTTCGGCTACCAAAGACAGAGAGTTTGAGTCATTTCTAGTGGATTGACCACATAGCTGAGACAAATGCATCTGTTTCTGCATGTTTTAAATGTCTCAACTACGGCCTAGCATCTGCCAAAGGAGGAAACTACTAGGTGCACCAGTCAGATACCAGATATGCATGATCAGGGCAGCAGGTTTGCTCCACCTTTTCTTCAGCAAGCTAAGCTATATGACCCTACCTCAACTCCATAGCTACCTAGTGTTTCTTCTGAGGCAAAATGTCATGGATATCTTTACGGGAAAGGACTGTAGCTCAGTGGAGGAGCATTTGCTCTGCGTGCAGAAAGCCCCAGATTCAATCCTTGGCATCTCCAGGCAAGAATGGGAAAGACGCCTGTCTGAAACCCTGCCGCGCCTGTTTCAGACAGTGCAGACAATATTAAGCTGGATGGACCCAGAGTCTGACTTTGTATAAGGCGGCTTCCTGTGTTCCTAATTTGAGCCAAACATTGGGACAAGGGTCAAAATGAACAATATAAATTCTCAATTTTCCCAAAGGTGTGCAAATGTGGGTGTGGAGGAATGATTGTGTTGTCTGGGTTTTTAAATATCTCTATCCTCAGTGCTATTTTTCTAGAAAAAGAGGTGTTGTAACTCACCATGAACGGCTCCCTTGTTCTCTTATACAGTAGTACCTCGGGTTAAGAACTTAATTCGTTCTGGAGGTCTGTTCTTAACCTGAGGCACCACTTTAGCTAATGGGGCCTCCTGCTGCCACTACGCAATTTCTGTTCTCATCCTGAAGCAAAGTTCTTAACCTGAGGTACTATTTCTGGGTTACTGGAGTCTGTAACCTGAAGCGTCTGTAACCTGAAGCGTCTGTAACTTGAGGTACCACTGTAATGGCAATGGCGCCAACCTGAGAGATGCCAGAACTCAGTTCTGGTGAGTTCTGGCTGGGGGGAAAAGCCCCATTTATCCTCAAAAGTTCAGTGTGTGTAACAACATGTATGTTTCCAAATATCCTGCTGGGGGGAATTTACAAGGAGGGCACACCGCACCCACTCTCATGTTGAAGAAATGCTTACACATTTTGAGTAATAACTTTCTGTGCAGGAGAGCTATAGACTTCCTTTTGAAAGGAAGGAAGGAAGGAAGGAAGGAAGGAAGGAAGGAAGGAAGGAAGCTCAGCATCTTAGGCACCTGTCCAGGGAAATCAGGAAAACCCTCCACAGGCATCATGGCACCCCTGGGTGCCAGGTTTGGAACCCCTGGGTCTACAAGGATTCCAAAACTTTAATTTTCAGTTTCCTGAAAGCAAGAGAAAACACTGCAATACTATATGAAAAATCACTGTGATAGCCATGATGGAGAAACACAATGTGATATTAGCAAGATGTGGGGCGTGTACATTTTACTTTTATTAAACATGTTTAGTGTAATTACTATATTGCTGTTTTCTTCTCTCCCCCAGTCCTGTATTTAAAATTAAAGCAGATCACAATTGGGAAAATAGGAGAGGGAGGGAGGGAGAAAGAGGAAGAGTTTTGTCTGAAAAGAGATAGGATAAAATATTCATTTGGAAAACATACCATATCTATGCAAAACAGACAGTGTGTAACGTCTTGTCTAAGAGACAAGATCCAGACATCATCTGCTGGGTAGCTTGCTCTAACTTACAAGCTCTTTCTTGGACCTTTGAATGATAAAGGGCTGAGTCAGCCTTGCTAAGATTGAAACTGTCCAGGAAAGAGAAGTATTTCATCATTACATGAAAGAGGAACAAGGTACTTTGGGATTCTCTCCCAGAAGCTGACTAGCCAGACTAAGCCACAGCTGCTGCTAATGTGTGTATGCGTGTCTGTGTGTGCACATGCACATGTATGAATGAGAACAGAGGAAAACACAGTAGGTGACAACTTTTGAAAGAGAAAGAGCTGGAATCAGCTGGCACTGGGGCTGTAACCTTAGGAGGAATGCATAAATTCTTAGATGATCTGCTGCCTGGTGAAGGAGTGCCTGTTTGCTCCCATTATGGTCTAGAGTGGTACCTCGGTTTACGAACTTTATCCATTCTGGAAGTCCATTCTTAAACCAAAACCGTTCTTAAACTTTTCCTAAAGAGGCCTCCTGCCACCGGTACCTCGGGTTAAGTACTTAATTCGTTCCGGAGGTCCGTTCTTAACCTGAAACTGTTCTTAACCTGAAGCACCACTTTAGCTAATGGGGCCTCCTGCTGCCGCCGTGCAGCCGGAGCATGATTTCTGTTCTCATCCTGAAGCAAAGTTCTTAACCTGAAGCACTATTTCTGGGTTAGCAGAGTCTGTAACCTGAAGCGTATGTAACCTGAAGCATATGTAACCTGAGGTACCACTGTACTTGTAAATTTGTAAATAACACAAATATTACAAAGGATCACCTGCCATCCAGGGAAAACTAAACACCAGAACTACGCACTGCTCAGAGGTTGTGTGGGCGTGGCCCTATAACTATGACAGACCCTCTAAGTATCCCTATTTTCCCGGGACGTCCCCAATTTAGAGAAGCCGTCACAATTTCTGATTTGATCCCGAAATGTCCCACTTTTCCTTAAAATGTCCCTGTTTTCATTGGATAAATTTTGGAGGGTATGGAGTTATCCAACCCCCAAGCAATCCTGTATAGGGAAGTTTTTAAAAAATGTTTAATGTTTTATTATATTTTCATGTATGTTGGAAGCTGCCCAGAGTGGCTGGGGCAACCCAGTGAGATGTGTGGGGTATAAGTAGTAAAATTATCATTATGGAACAGGACGTCTCTATTTTCATCATAGAAATGTTGGAGGGTATGCTATGATTTTGGAATCGCCATATTGTTTCTTTAAAGAACCAAGATGAAGAAGATACCCCCTGCTGAAATCACAGCATTTCAGAAGACCTTTGGAGGAGATCTGCAAGCAAGCTTCAAAAGTCTTTAAACTAATTATTCAGGGAAGTTTGGAGGTGAAAACAGGGAAGAGGTGAAAAAGTCATTTGGTTGGAAGTCACAAGGACTGGAAGCTAGAATGCAGGTTGACTTCCAGCCACTGGAAGTGGTTTCCACATGATGGAAGCCTGCAAGCCCTGGGAGCAAAACTGATAGGGGAGTTACGAGGGCTTACAGGCATGTAGCATGAGTGGCTCCAATCTCCTTTTCATGCATTCTCACTTTTATTGCTTATTTGCTTTTGTTTTGATTTTATTGATTGTTGGGGTGCTGAGTTTGCTGTTGTTGGCAAGGCCATCTTCTGAATAGAATTCTGCTCCTGTAGTGCTGCTGCTGGAGGAAGTAAAACGGTAACTTTCATCCAAATCTGTTTTGGAGATTGACCCTCTGAAGCAGCAGGAGAGGTGCAGGGGGAGGGGGAGAATTATCTGCCTCTTCTGTCAGGAGCATCCTGTCCGTAAATGGGACTGCAAAATGTTTTAAATAAGTATATTAATCTCATCTGGCAGATTATAGTCCCATATACAGTGGTACCTCAGGTTACAAACACTTCGGGTTACAGACTCTGCTAACCCGGAAGTAGTACCTCAGGTTAAGAACTTTACCTCAGGATGACAACAGAAATTGCGCGCCGGCGGCAGCGGGAGGCCCCATTAACTAAAGTGGCACCTCAGGTTAAGAATGGTTTCATGTTAAGAACGGACCACTGGAACGAATTAAGTTCGTAACCAGAGGTACCACTGTAATGAACTGAAGCAGGCCTTAAATTAGCAGTTTGGATCCAAACACAAGTCAGCATAGGCCATGAATCAATGCAGGTGTGGGGGAGTGAGGCTCTCCACAACTTTCGGCAGATTGAAAGTAGTTTGGGGTCATACCAAGATCATACGATACAAGCCAGGAGATCCTATGACAGACACACTTCACCATGAGCTGACTGCCCAGTTCAGATGCCCTCTCAATGCTTGGAAGAGAGTGCAGGATTGTATGCTGTGTTCCCACCCCTGACATCAACATGCCCATCTAGCCCTGAGCTCTGCATGCTGGCTGGGGTTGATGACATCAAACAACATCTACAGGGTGGCAGGTTCCACCTTTCGTTTGGAGCAAACCAAACTTTGAAAACCATAAACCATAGTTTGCCACAAACTAAAAGCAGAAGTTTATAATTTCCTCCATGTACATGAAGTTGTAGAGCTACATGTGAACCTCACTGTTGCTAGTTCTCATTACTGTATTTATTTAAACCTGACTCAGACGATACAGAGGAATACAGCATACTTTGCTGTTATGGCTAAACTAAGATAAAGGCATCGAACATCCCTAAGGAACAATGTATCTTTAAGGGTAACAGTAAATTGATGTTACGTAAAGAATGCTAGTGGAATGAGCTGGAAAATTCCAGTTCTGCTATATATCCTTGCATCTTTTTTTTTGTAATTATAATTTTCATTACTGAAGGCCTGCAAAACTTGTCTAGCCAAATGACACCCATCAAAATATATGGCTGCTTACATAAAACACCTGCTTTTTGCCAACACTCTGGAATTGCAAAAAACTGGCAGGATAGTCATGTCCCAGGCAGTTCAAAATGCATTTGGTCTGGTGAGTCAAATGCTTGCAGATTTCCATTTAATATAAAACAGTTTCTAGCTGGACATGCCCAGTCTAGAGAAGATGACAGTTCTCTGGACCAGTAATCCAAGAAACAAATTCCTAGGAAACAAGTTTTTTTAAAAAATTAACATAGAGGAAGCTGCAAGTTGGCCTCTTATTTCAGAGCATCACTGTGTTGCTTTCATTCTGATAGTTGCCAGATGAAGAGATTACAGCATTTAGGCAATTTTCGCCTTTCCTTTTAATTAATTGGTTAAAATAATTGATTAAAATAAAACAGTGCTATATCTTAATACAGGTGATATGATGATTTTTAAAGAAAATAATTCTCTTATAATTCTTTTTTTGGCGGGGGTGGGGGGGAGACACACATACAATCTTCTATATATTCATAGTCAACAGATGTGCATCACATAGTTCCATCAGGATAGAATAGCTTTTCCCATCTCAGAGGACATTCCAATTAAAAACCCACACTTTTAGCTTGTGATTAATTCTACTAATTGTGATAATTAGTCCTTTTGGTTCTGCTAACACATGTTAACTTAATACCTACAAAGACAGGCTCCCATTTCTAGAAATTAGCACATCTTTTATCTTGAGCTTACCTGAATTCTTCTTATTTGGCCATAGGACTCATAACATTTATTTTAATTAAAATTACAGATAACATTATTAGCAAAGTAAAGGTTTGCTACCTCAAAGAATGCACCTCATTCTATAATATTTTTATGCTGTCCTTGTGGCCCCAACAATGACTTTTTAACAAGAACACCTCAAGCTTTACTACTGA